ATAAATCCCCTCCTGCGGTGCCCCGCGCCTTCCTGGGGCTGCCCGCAATGCCCCTCCTGCCCTCCTGTGGTACCTGTGCTGTGCCACCCGAGTGCCATCCCCGATGGTGCTGCCATCCGTGGTGCTCCCATCCAGGAGCCCAGTTGGCCCCAGTTCTGTGCTGTGGGGCCAGCAGCAGCCCCAGAAGAAGGGCCAGGTGCGAAGGGGTGGAGAACACACTGCTTTATTGGGGCAGGGGCAGGCCCACCCATGTGCACCAGCTGGGCGGCCTCGAGAACTATCCCATGGGTTTGCAACGGGCTCATTGCCTGCTCGTCCTGCGAGCAGCACGGGATCCCGGGAGCAGGAGGACATAAATAGGGGGGGTGAGTGGCCCAGAAAGGGAGTTCTGCTCTGCTCCTGCAGCCTGAGCCAGCAGTCCAGATAACTGACATAAAATGTCTACACAGCATAAGTAACAATACTTAGGGGTAGGGCACTCTGCGCCGGATCCGCTCGCTTTGCTGAGGGGGCACAGTGCAGCCAGGAGGGCTGTGGGGCAGCCGCTGGGGCTGTGTCACCACACTGCAGACATGAAATCAGGGTCCCAGTGCCAGGCTCTGGCGCAGCGTCTCAGCGCAGCCCGACAGGTCCATGTGCTCCAGGGCGGCGAAGATGCGGTCAAGCGTGGCACTGGTCTGCTGGCACCAGCGCTTCAGCATCTCGTACTGCCGGTCACGGAACGGGGCCACCTCCATCTCCACCAGCTCAATCTCCGTGTCCCGCAGCTCCAGCACCCTCATGAACTCCTTCCAGCGCCGCACCGGCACCGCGTTGATGACAGCGTAGAGCTGGCTGCCCTGCAGCAGGGCACAGCGCTGGGGGCTGCTGAGTGGTGGGGCCGGGCTGTGCGCTGCGCTGGGCACCGAGGGCTCTGTGGTGCCGTTGGGCAATGCTGCTCTGCTGGGTTGTTGGTGCAGCAAGGCTGAGGACTCGGAGCTCCTCCTCGCCATGCTGGAGCCAGGCTCCCACACCTGTCCGGAGAGTTTGGCCAGGTCCAGTGCAGACCGCCCGACCGTGGCTGGTAGCCACCCACCCCACCGCAGGCACTCACCTGGCACTGCATCACTTCTGTTGATGCAGCCCTCTGGGTGACGGGGTGCATACAGGCTGTGGGGCCAGAGCAGTCCCAGGGTGAGACTGTAGGTAGAGGGCTGACTGCTGGGGTCTCCATCTGGAGCCGCTTCCGCTTGTGATAGATGGCAAGGGCACCCAGGAAGAGGGGCCCGGTCAGACCCAGCAGGATGTACTCCAGCCCCGAGCCTGCAAGGAAGTAGTGCTGTCCCCTGGTTGCTCCCCACCCCACTGCCCTCACCCCGAGCCTCGCCACCTCACACACCTGGGGCACGGTGGCCGCACACCCGCTGGCACTCCTCGCCGCAAGTCTCTGGGGTGCTCCTGCAAGGAGAGGCATGGTGGGCACTGTGCCTGTTGCCAGCACACCCCCCCCCGGGAGCTGCTTACATGCGGCACGGGCGGCACTCGCTGCCCTCGGCATAGAAGTCGGGCTTGCAGCTCCCACACTGTGCGTCTTGCCTGTCTGAGCCTGGGGAGAAGGTGCATGTCAGGGCAGTGGAAGCCCTGCAGGTGGCATCCCATGGGCTGGGTGGAAACACTCACAGGGCTGCAGAAGCAGCTTCCCAGGGCAGGTCTTGCACTTCTTGCAGGAGAATTCACTGCAGGAATCATCCTTGTTTTGGCACTCACGGAAGTGGCCAGACTCACAGCCACAGGCAATATTGCTGGTGGCTGAGCAGTTGCTCACCACAGTCTGGAAAGCTGCAGAGGCAGGCGGTGAGCAGGGCAGCACAAGCACAGTGTGGCACAGCATGGCACAACATGGCAGTGTGGCACAGCGTGGCACAATATAGTACAGTGTGGCACAGCACACTGCCGACTCACTTTGATGGTCACACGTGTAGCAAGCATCGCACTTGGGGCGGGTGTTGGGGTGGGAGAGAAAGGTGCCGGCGGGACAGGCTACACAGACGTTGTCGTTTCCATGGCTCGTGCAGGGGGTTTGCAGGAATGTCCCTGTGGGCAGCAGAGGGACAATGAGCACGGCCACCGCTGCATGCCCAGGCAGTGCCATGCCACCATGCCCATGGCAAGCGACACACCTGGTGCATGGTGCCTTGCCAGCTGGGCACTTCTCACCTGGGGGACACTGGGTACAGCACCGACCAACTGAACGGATCCAGCTCATCCCGGAGGGGCAGGAGGACTTTATGGTGGACCTCCGAGTGCGGTTGGATGGGAGCACCAGGCCCCGCTGGCTGCGTAGCATGGAACAGTTCTGGCAGCCCGGGGGCTGTGACCCGCTGGCCAGCAGCCACAGCACTGCCAGGAGCACCTGTGGGCAGGGAGAGGGCAGGCTGCAGAGAGCCTGGGTGCAGAGCGAGCATCCCAGGGCAGCAGGGCTGGGCCATTGCACTCACTGGGCTTCCAGCCATGGACAACAGGCACCTGAGCCCCAGCCAAGCCCAATCTGTAGGGTGTTAGGCCAAGCAGATGCTGGTGCCCTGCAGGGCTGGCAGCAGGGCAGGACAGCCAGGGGCAGCCCCGAGCCCACAGCCCCACGGCTGGGAATGCCCCAGGGCAGCCCCTGTGCCGGGCTTTCCCCTTGGCCCCTGAGTAATTGCTTTCCTGACCTCAGCATAGGGCACACACTGTGTGGGCACACGGGTCGTCCTGCTGGGCTCAGGCAGACCAGCGTTGCCCACAGGAGCTCAGACCTCCAGATGCCATCAACCAGCCCAGTGCTCAGCCCCACACAGTGCAGTTCAGGGCACGGGAGGGTTAACGCCTCCCTCCACTTTCCTCCGTTTTTATCTGCCTCGCAGATGAGGCGATTTCCTCCTTGAGAGGAAACCATGCCCAGCTCACGCTGTCCCCGATGCTATCACACTTCATGCGTGCGTCCCAAAGTAGGTCACTGCTCCCCCGCCACCCCGCAGGGCGCTGGCTGCTGAGTGCAGGGGAGCTCTGGGGGGAGCACAGCGAGTGCCTGCCTCACTGCACCACCCGCAGCCCGGCTGGGGTCCCGGAGCCGCACACGGCGCTGTGATGCGAGCAGCGTTTGCTCGGCCACAGCAGGCAGGGAGCCAGGGGATTCCTTGCCGGGGGCTGGATTTCCCAGCCGAGATCACCCCGATTACAAGGACTGAATCATTTTCTATTAAACCCGCCGCCGCCGGACTGGAAACCATGCCCAGGCGGCGCCATTTGCATAACGCTGCGATCGCAACAGGGCGGCCGCACCACAACAAGGAGCCCAGCAGCCAGCGGCACGTCTGAGTCAGCGCACAGCCCTGCCGGGCACGAGCACCCCGCGGCGGGGCCCGACCTGCACGCGTGCGCCGCCCCGTCCCCGCGCCTGGCGGGCAGCTGCTGCGCGGCACCGGTTACGCAGCGGGGCCTCCGCTTCCTGTGCCGCTCAAGCGCCGCCCCTACCCGTAACGCGGTTCTGTCTGCAGCCTCTGCTCCTGGCCCAGCAAGGCTGGGGCACCCACCTACTCAGCCAGCCCGCTGTCACCGTCTGCCACCGTGCTTGGGGCTGCAACGGCATCCCTGACCCGCGCTCGCAGGCTCTCAGCGCAGCCTGGCCACGGTCCTGTGGCCGTGCTCTGCCCACCATCCCTGTGGCTGCGCTCACGCTGCCAGTGACTGCGCTGTGCCCTCAGCACCCGTGGCCATGCCGAGCCCTGGGGCTGTGCCATACCCGTGCTTCCCATAAGCGCGCTGTGCCTGTGGTCCCCATGGCCGTGCCATACCTATCACCCCTGCGACCATATCCCACCCACAGCCCCACTGCTGTGCCCTGGCTCAGGCTGCGGGAGGGCAGATTGCAGCTTCCAGGTGTTCAGCACAGCTCAGACAGTGAGCGCTTTCGTGGGACGTGGACCCCTCAGCAAGTTGCCGAGTGCATCTCTCACCCCTTCCACTGAAACCACCCACAGCCAGCACCTGCTCTGGGCACCCAGGGCCACACCAGCCTAGCCAGCAGGCCCCCAGCCCCCCCACACTCACCGAGGCCACCCCTGGGCAGAGGTGCTTCATCCTTGCAGCTGGCACAGCTGGGTCATGCCGTGTGGCAGTGGTGGGCACAACTGAGCATGGGGTTCCCGGTGCTGGGGAGATTCAGTATAGGGTTCCCCCACGCCCCATTGCTTCTGCACGACGTGTGATGAATGAGCACCAGCCCTCCCCAAGCAGGCTTTTATATGTGACCACAGCAGGAGGAAATGCTTTTTTGGAAATGAGACCAGAGGGTTCGAAAGCACATGACAGGAACACTGCGCAGGAGAGACCTGTGCCAGCCCAACATGTCCCTCCCATTCCCCCCAGCAGCACAGACAGAGCCTGGAGGGGGGACACAGCATCTTCTGCTTTGCTAGGCAGAGCTGCACCGTGACCCAAACCCCCGAGCTGGGGTACAGAGCTGGGGCTGGCTCCATGAGCGTTGCATGGCATCTGCTCCACATCCGCTCCTCTTCAACCCACAGTGCCTGGCTGCTGCCCGAAGGAGAGGCGAGGCGGGCGCAGCATGCACACAGCGAGGTTTATTGCTTGGCTGGACCGCACCGCAGCCAGCACAGGTGCCACGGCCAGTACATGCCCACAGTGCAGCCACCGCCACCTCCCAGTGCCAGCAGGCAGCACTGCTACAGGGACAGCCTGAAGCTCAATAAATACGCACTCTGCAGTGGCATCCCACTCCGGTGTGGGCTGTGTCAACAGGCAGTAGCTCCCCACCAGCCCAGCACAGGATGGCACCCAGCTCTCGGCCACCGCAGCTCCCACGCTCCTACTCCCTGGCCACCAAACCATGCCCTGGCCAGACCCTGTGGCCACTGCTAGCCCCAGCTCAGCCCTGTCCCCTCGTTTCGCCACCCCCCGCCTCCCGCCCCACATACCAGCAGCCCTGTGCTGCCCACCCCGCAGCCATCTCACACCTTCCCCACTCCCCGCTGCCGACGTCGCCATCCCTCTTCCTCGCATGGAGCTGCTGAGCCCATGGCCTCCCCAGGCGCAGCCCCATGACCACACTGTGCGCCATGTCCAGCCCCACACGGACACCCCTGGGTAGCAATGGGCAGCCCGGTGCTGCCCTGCCGGGATGCATCCTCCCAGATGGGACTGCTCTGTGTCCCCCACGTGTGACATCCTGGCACAAGCTGGTGGGTGCCCGCTCTGCCCAGCCCCGACGTTACGCTACGGTTAGAAGCAGGAAGAGCTCTTGGAGCAGCCGCACGTCCATCCTCATCCTCACTGCCCCGGCAGCTCTCAGACCTCCCTGCAGGGCACAACAAAGAAAGAGGCTTGGTCAGTGTGGGGCCTGGCACATGGCATGTAGAGGGGATGGGCTGCACATACGAGGCCGTCAGCGTGGAGTTGAGGAGCAGCGTGGTCCGTATTCGGTAGAGCTGTGCCAGCGTCAGCTTGCGGTGCTGCGCTGAGGAGGAGTCTGAGAGCGTGCGGTGGGCAGGGGGCTGAGGGCTGTGGCTGGGCTGGCCCACGGTGGGTGCACGGGGCTCCATGGGCTCCTCCGGCTCTGAGAGCTCTGAAGTGGAGTCACCACTACTGCTGCTGCTGGCACCGGGGGCCAGGAGCTCTGGGGAATGGCTAGTCCGCTGGAGCAGTGGGGGAGCAGGAGGGGCCATGCATAGGTCAGAGAGGCTCCGGCTCTGGTTGAGTGGGGTAGGGGGTCCGGCCAGCAGTTGAAGCAGGCTGGCCTCTGACTTGGACTTGAGCACTCGGGCCTTGCAGGGCAGGAGCTGCACGGGCGTCCGACGGCGCAGCCGGGGTGAGGGGGGCTGTGGGGCCAGGGCTTCTGGCCCCTCCTCAGCCCCTACGTCCTGCTGCCGGGGAAAGTCCCGTGGTGAGGTGGGTGAGAGTGTGCCGTAGGCGCTGTCGATGGACGCCGAGCAGAAGCTGCCAGGCTGCGCGGTGGCACTGGGGGGCAGGGGCAGGCTGCCAGAGGGCAGCTCGTGGGTTGGGGTGCTGCCAGAGGTGCCGGTGGCGGTGCTGACGGAGGTACCAGTGCTGACAGAGATGCTGTCTGACGGTGAACCGAACGGCCCCACATCTGACTCTGGGGAGGAGAGCTCATCGCCGCCGTCCACCACCACCACTGAGATGGTCTCGGTGGAGCCGTCCGAGGGGCTGCGGAAGAGAGGAAGGTGAGGAGGAGGCTGCGCCGCAGACGTGGTCACAGTGCCCCTGTCCCACTCATACCACTGCTGGGAGTCCAGGCTGGTGCTGCTGCGGCGCAGCACCGTGGGCGAGCTGGCGGTCGAGGTGCTGCTCTCACCATCCTCCTCATCTTCCTCCTCCTCCTGCAGGCGCCGGCACTGCCCACGCTGCTGCTCCTGCAGCCGCAGCCGCTGCAGCAGGTTCTGGGAATGGCAGGTGTCAGGGATCTGTGGGCACGAGACCCCCACGCCCCCCCCCACGCGGTGTCTTCACCTGTGCATTGTGCAGCGCCTCGACCCAGCTGCGGCACAGCGACTGCCCACTGGCCTGGAAGGTGTAGGCAGCCACGGCGCTGCCAAACTCATTCAGGTAGATGAGGAGAAAGGAGCCTGTGGATGAGGAGCTGTGAGGCTTGGACTTCCAATGTTTTCCTAGGGTGCAACCCCTCCCCCCTGGTGCCACTCACCCGGGTCCTTCAGCTCCCGGCAGATGACTTTGTCCACCAGCAAGGGCTGTCGGATCACCTTGGTGCGCTCAGCCTTCTTGACGGGCTTGGTGATGAGGAAGAGGTCGGTGAAGAGGAAGCAGTAGACGTCCATCTGTGGAGGTGAGAGCAGGGCCATGGGTGCCAGCCCCCACACGAGGGATGAGCTCCCCATGCCCCCCATCCTCACCTTGCTGTCTTTACCTTCCCGCATCTTCAGGCTGCCTTCGAGCAGAAGCTGCCGGGTGTCATCTGGGGAGGTGCCAGGCATGGGGGCCGTCAGGTCCAGCCGCAGGAACTCCTTCAGCAGCTGCAGGGAGCCAGGGAGGTCAGCACAGGTCAGGACACAGCACAGCACTGCAGCCGCGCTGTGCCCAGCCTACCTTGTCCACCTCGTCCGTGCTGCCCTCCACCACCTCATAGGCATCGATGCGGCTGAGGATGGCGGCCAGGCGCTGCTGCTCCTGCCGCTGCCGCATCCGCGAGTTGACGTGGTTGATGAAGTGCTCCACAGAGCTGATCTGCAGCACAGGCACAGGGGTGAGAGGCTGGGCTGCCCACCTGCCCGCGTCCCCACGCCGTGCCCCTTACCATGGTGAGGATGGCATCACGGGTGCGCGCATCGTCCGTCTTCTTCAGCACGGACTTGAGGAGCAGTGGGTACTTGGTGAGGCGCTGGTGCGGCTTCACCAGCATGTCGCTGAGCTTCAGGCGGCTGCACTGCTTGTGCTTCTCGGCCCACTGCAACATGCAGATGTCAGCTCCAGCCCCAGCCCCGGCCCCAGCCCCGCTGCGCCCCCCTCACCGTCACATAGGCACGGAAGAGCTCGCTGTCGCGCAGCAGATTGCGCATGTACTCCATGCAGCCCTCCTCCTCCATGCAGTACTGGATATAGGGCTTGAAGAGCGTTCCAAACTGCGGGCAATGCAGAAGTGTCACTGCAGGGCACAGCCTGGCACAGTCCATGGTGCAGCACAGGGTTGGCACTCACCGTCTTGAAGCCCTTGAGGAAGTCCATGGGGTCAAGCAGCACCTTGGTCCGGCGGGCCTTGTCCAGCACCGGGGCCATGACGCTGCTCCACAGGCTGCGGTGCAGCTGGATGATCTCCCCAATATTGCCAAACAGACGCTCAGCATCCACCTACGGGGGGAGGCGGGGAGTCGCCGTGGGTCACATCCCCATGCACCCACCATGCTGGGGGACCCCTGCTATGCACCACACTGCTGTTCCCCCAGGCCCCACAGCACAGCCCCAAATACGCAGCGCACTCACCTCACACAGCAGCCCTGACTCCTGAAGGTTCAGCAGGCAACAGAGGAAGAGCTGTGGAGACAGAGCAGGAGCTCGTTGGGCAGGAGCCATGGTATGGGGGACACCTGTGGCTGAGGAACATGGGCCATGGGCACTCACATCAGTGATGACCTTTAGCTTTCGGATGTAGGTGGCCTCAGTGTGCAGCAGCTCCCAGATGGCTTCCTGCTGGTGGCACTGCCGGCGCGTCAGGGCCTGCAGGGCCAAGCGTCAGTGTTTCACCATCCAAGGAGTGCGGCCAGCACCGCCATCAACCCCAGCCCTACCTCCGTGCCCTCAATGATTTGCTGCCAGCTGTCTTCTAGCACCAGGCTGCTGTCGTCCCCATCCTCCTCCCAGGAATCCTGGTCGAAGCGGAGCTGCGGTGGTAGTTTGGGCAGCCCAAAGCTGCTGTAGGTGTGCAGCTTGCTTTCCAGCTGCTCCATCTTGTCCACCTCCTGCTGGAAGGCATGAGCAGATGGGCTGGGGACAGTGGCAGAATGCCACAGTTCTGCTGGCCCTGCACATGGATCTGGGGCACAGCCATGCAGGACCTCATCCCACCACCACCCCAGCACAGCACCACGACTCCCACACCCCTCCCCTGCCCACCTACCCGCCCAAAGGGGCCAGTGCTGGTGCTGGAGCTGAAGAAGCCACTGAAGCGGCTGGCAGCACGGTTCTTCCAGGTGTCGGTGCCATTGGTGGGCAGAGAGCCACTGCCATGCAGGGATGGCTCAGGGCTGGGGATGCTGGCGTCCCCCAGGAACTCCGTCATGTTCTTCCGCCGCCTGCCCGGAGCCTGCATGGGTACAATGAGTGCCGCAGGTCAGCACCAGCCCTGCTCACTTCACAGCGCAGGGACAGCCCCCGAAAGCCATGCTCTGCCCCTGCTGATGTGTCCCCCACACCCCATAGCCGATCCCTTCCTAGGGTGTGCAGAGCCAGGCCCCCACGGGACATGAGCTCGCTGCGCCCGCACCCGCACTGACCTGCGTACCTGCATCCTGCATACAGGGGGCCAAGTGCCCCGGTCCTGTGCCCACACCCCGCGGCAGAGGGGCTCTGCGGCTCAACGCATCCCACAGGGTGCAGCACCCCGAGCCCCTCACCGCCCAGCCGTGCTCTGAACTTGAACCGCAGAGCCAGGCAGCTCTGGCTGTGCTCCTCCGAACAAAAGGAGGTGGGGCCAGCGCAGAAAACCTAATTTCCCTCCTCGCCAGATAAGCTAAACAGACCCGAACAATTCGCTGGCAAAGATCAAAGCCCACCATCCCGCAGCGGAGCTGGGTCCTGGCCACACAGCACCCGCCTGCCCAGGCACTCGGCTCACGCCATACTCATACATCCCCACAGCCCCTTGCCAAGGCCACACCATGACGTGGCTGCTGCCCTCTCCTCACCTGGTACAAAGTGCAGCATGGCCATTGCGTGGCACAGAGACCTACTGTCCCCGAGCCATGACAGCCCAGTGAACCCTGCAGAATCTCTACTTCGCCCCAGCATGGCTCCACATCTCACCATGCCACGGTGTCTCCAGTCGCCCTGGCCCACGCTGGCCCTGCTGCCCTGGTTCGGCTCTGCTCCCACCTGCCCTCGGGGACCCGGCTGTGGAGGTGGCCCTGTGACCGCCATCCCTTCTGCCCCACCAGCGCAGTGCCGGTCCCACTGCCAGGCATCGTACTGCCGGATGCGGGCAGCCACCAGCCCCGGCCACACAGCCAGCTTGGTGCACTGGGGGCTTCTGGCTCAGAGAGCTAAGAGCTGCTGTCCCCACGCTGGGATCCCCAGAGCCAAATTCTGGGGAGCGGGAGCTGTGTGGCCACACGAGCGTGGCATCTGCTCCCACGGGGAGTGGCAGCAGATCCGGCCCCACATCTTATCTGGGTCCACAGGGCAGGACTGAGGCTGCACACAGCAGCTGACAGGTGCCAAGGTGAGGAGGGACAGTGGCCACATCCTGGCCAGGAGTGCCAGCCTCACTGCCATGGGGCCCTGGGGCGTGGAGCTTTGCTTTGCTCAGGTACCAGCCCATACGTGGCACAGCTGCAGGGCTGCCAGCTGAGCTGCCACGCCTGGTGCAGGGCACTGCCCACGCTGCAATGTGGCACCGCTGGCACAGCACAGCACTGCTGGGAGCTGAGCTTGTTCTCAAGGCTTCCAGGGGCTTTGCACCCCCATTGCATGAGGCCAACCAGGAGACGCCCTACTGCTCTGGTGTGCCCCCACCTTTCCAGATACACGAGGTGCAGAGTGCTGCGGGTACTCACCAGGATGTCAGCGCCCTCCCTGCGGCCCGGCCCTGGATCCAGCCCTGTCCCAAGGAGTGCAGCGGTGCTGGCGGGGCGCAGGATGGGCAGGCTGGCTGAGCGTGCATCCCGTGCCGCCTGCTCCACCTTCAGCTCATCCCCAGGCTTGGCTACGGGAGCACAGAGCTGTCAGAGCCCCCAGCCCCGTGGTGCCTGTTTTGGCCTTATATTTGCCCCCCTCCACACCTTTCACCCGCAGGTAGTGTCCCCCGAAGCGGTACGCCTCAAACTGGAGGGAGAGTGGTGTGTTGGACTGGTCCAGGTAGATGTCCACCTTGCTGTGCTCAATCGCCCTCCTCTCAAAGACCGGCAGCAGCACGTCCCTGTGGGATACCATCCCTATGGGTCCTGTGGGGTCTGTGTGCCCATCAGGGCTGTGCCTGGCACAGGCAGCTCACCCCAGGGACTTCTTCTTCATGGCCGGCACGATCTCTGCCTCGATATCAACATTCAGGTCGAATTTGAGGGTGAAGCACTCCTTGCTGGGGTCCTGCAGAAGACACACAGCTCACAAAGGGCTCCTACCCATCTTGGATGTGGCCACAGCATAACCCCACAGCAGAGCCCCATAGAGGGGATGGTGTCTTACATCCGTGTGCCTGCGCCGAGCCTTCTTCTTGGGCAGCTTCAGTGCCGAGCTTCTCCTGTCCCTGCAGGCATGGGCAGAGTGAGCCAGGTGTCCTGCAGGGTCTGCTGGCAACACAGAGACACCCACTCTGTCCCACCAACTGCAGAAAGGGCTGGGACGTGCACTCACCCCCTCCCGTCCGCCGGTCCCTCGTCGTCATCCTCCATGTCGGAGGCAGGGCTGGTGCGCGGCGGGCACGAGCGTGTGGAGACGTTGCGAGCCAGGATGGAGCCTGTCAATGAGCATTGGGGCCAGGCTGAGCTGAACCCACTGGCCCCGCTGTGTCCCACCAAGGGCCCAGGGTGCAGCCAGCCCGGCTTACCCGGTGGGGACAGGTCGAAGCGGATGTGCCCATCGAAGTGCATGGTGTCGTGCAGGTGCCCGTCGCAGGCCTCACACAGGCTGAGCGGGCTGCTGCAGTTCAGCTGCTGGCACTTGGCGTGGTGGCATACCTGTGGGGTGCAGCTGTGGGCTGGGACAGAGCAGCAGCGAGACCCCCTCACCCCCCGTGGGCTGTGCTGAGCCCCCTCCCCATCACCACCGCACTGCACAGAGACCCTCAGAGCCTTGGGACTGCAGCAGAAGGGCTGCACATAGCTGGGCATGGAGGGAGAGAGGGCACTGGAGGCACTGGGGGCACCTGGCCCCCACGCGCCCATTCATGATGTCCCATGCTGGGCTGAGGGTGCACCAGGACCTGCTGTGCTCTCAGGGGTCTGCAGGGCCACTCCAGAGCCCTTTTGTGTTTGCAAGATCAGTGTCCCCACGGCAGGACGGAGGAAGCAAGTGTCTGCAGCAAAACAATGCTCGCAAGCCGATGCATTTCCTCCGATTGTGCGCCCAGCCTCAGCCTCGGCCGGGCATTCACAGGCATTTATTTTTAAACCCCTGGCCAGCCCCAGCGTGGTGCACAGCCCGTGACCCCCTGCTGGGGGCTGCACCAGCGGTTGGGGTGCTGCCGGGGGCTGTCAGCCCACACCCGAGGTACGTCCCCATCTGGCAGTGCCCCACGGCCACCCCACGAGCAGAAAGGCTGCGGTGCGGCATCCCGGGAGCGCGGCCCCACTGTGCGGCAGAGGAAGCGCCGGTGCACCCCGAGCCGCCCCCGCTTCCTGCCCTCCTTCCTCCCTGCGCTGCTGAGGTCAATGCTGACGCGGCCCGCCGCCCGCGCTCCCCGATGGGGCCACTTGCCCCCAGCACCACACTGCTTTCACCACGCCCCGGCTGCCCCCACCGCAGGGATGCCAAGGGAAACCCAAACCCATAGGCATAGCCCAGGGCTGCAGGGTCAAAGCACCGCAGCCGTACTGCTCACCAACCTGCCCGCCTGCACATCCCCGCTCGGCCCCATCCGACCGTCCAACACTGGCGATGGCTCCCGGCCGCTTGCTCCCGGTGGTGCTGGCACGAGGCCGCAGCCTGGTGCCACGTGTGTCCCGCGCTGTGTTTACCCAGCAGCTCCACCCGTGCAAACACAGCACGCCACGCCTGCGCCCGCGCTGCACACCTGCCTGCCCGCCTCGCCTCCCCTGATCCCCACTCTGCCCACACCGCGCTCCCTCCCCAGGCAGGTGCCCACACCACTGCCTGCACTGCAGGGTCTGAGGTGCTGGGGGGCTGAGGAAACAGCCCGGCTCTGGAAGGAGCACGAGAGCAGAGCGTTCCCGAAACCCGCACTGTTTGAAAGGCCACCGCTTCGTTATTTCCTCCCTGATGCTCTCAAAAGGCAGCGGGTGCCTCATTCCAAAAAACAGAGCTCATCTGCTCACCATAAAAGCCTGCGGTGGTGCTATCAGGCTTCCAGCGCCCAACTACCATCGCTCTTGTTGCTGGAGCAATCGCCCTGCGCTTCCCTTCCCACCGAGGCCGGGAGCATCGCACCGCACGGCTGAGCACTGCACGCCCTCCCCACCAGCACGGCCTCGGCGCACTGAGCAGGAACCCAGCACTCACCAGGAGCAGAGCAGCAGCACGGCACCGGCAGCGAGGACAGCCAGGAGCGAGCCAGCAGGTCGAGCAGCCAGAGATAAGGGGCCCTAAATCCACTCCGGCTTTACATTAGCGATCAACAAGATTAGGAGAGGTGGCATGGGGCGCTTCCAGCCGCGGGCTCTGCTTAATTCCAGAGCCCTGCACTTCCCAGCCTGATCACGGCGCTCCCGTCCCTCCACATGCCTCAATGGACGCGGGTATGAACGCAGCTGCTCCTGGAGGGGCCCTGTGTAGCTCTGCTGCCAAGCCCCGGTGTGCAGCAGAGCTGCAGCAGAGGTTCCCTCCCTCCTGGGCACAGCCGCGCTGCCTGTGCTGGCTTGCCGAGCGATGCTCCCACCGGGAACAGGACAGACGGGCTCAATGAGATTAGCCTGAATTACAGCAGGTGGGGAAACAGGGAAGCTGCTGCCACGCAGTTAAATCCCAGCCACGCACGAGCCTGCAGGCACACACGGGCAGCGGGACCGCGATGCTGCTGAGGGATGCGTGCCACACGCAGCTCCCACCATGTGGGAAGTGGCTGCAGCCCTTCCCTGCTACCTAGCCGCATCCTACCGGCACAGGGCTTTCTGCCCCATGGCTGCCTGCCAGCCAGCTGCACCAACCGGTTCTGCCAGCACCAGAGGCATTGGGAGCCAGGGCGAGCCCATGGGAGCCTCCACCTGCCCAGATCTGCACCAAGACAGCATGCCTGCTGCCTTCCTGATGGCACAGCCCAAGCTGCCAGCACTGCCGGCACCCCATGACCTACCTTGGCCGCCCTCCTCTTGTCGGTACAGTCGGGATTCTGGCAACGCAGCCCCTGCTCCTCTGCTGGGCACTGCTCATCTGCAGGAGAGAGCTGGGGTTAGCGCTGGGTGCGCACATGGGGCCCTGCAACCCCAAGCAAAACCCTGCCCCACTGCTCTTGCCCCATGGCCCCTGCAGGAAGACAGGTCCCTGACAGTGAGCGCCCAGCTTTTGGACAGAAAGCAGAGAGCAGAAGCTGCCAACCTCCTGCCCCAGTGAGCGGCGGCAGCACCCGGCGATGCACCAAACCTCATGTCCCCATGCCCAGAACCCAGCGCTGTGGCTCCAGCTTCTCCAGCAGAAAAGAGCAGCATGCACCCCCAGCACTGGGACCAGCTGCCTCCTGCTCCTTGTCACAAAGTGCCGGGGCCACTCTGGGCACATGCTGCCCACAGAAGGGTTCCCACAGCTGCCCCCGACACAGGGCTGAGCAAGGCCAGGACTGCCCATGGCTGGGAGAGGGGCTGGGAGCTGCCCCTGGATGGGAACGGCAGCCCTGAGAGCTGCTAGTGATGATGCACAGCGCGCTCCCCAAACTCCCATTGCTGCAAACACAGGAACAGGTCCAAAGCCCCAAACCTGTCGTAATATGGAAATTTATTTCCCGACGGGTAGCAGAGCTGGGATGGCCACAGCAGAGAGCAGGGCCTGGGGGCATCATCCTGCACCCGCTGCCAGGAGAGGCACGGGCTGAGGGCAGTGCCAGGAGTGCTAAATCTGCTCCTCGCCAGTCCCCAAAGGGGCTTACGGTCTGCTTTAAGCTCTAACAGTTAAATCGGCCTTGAGGACAAATCCTATTTTGAAAGCTTTTGTTATGTGTCGTGCCTAATAGTTTAAAAATAACAGACTCCAGGCAGCTCGCGGCACACCGGCGGGCACCAGGGCTGAAGTGAGAGCTCTCCTGTGGGGCAGTGTGAGGGCTGTGCTCACACCGACCCAGGGCACCTCCATGAGGACCCCCCTGGGCACCCCTGGGTGCAGTGCCCCTGGGAGAGAGCCAGGAGTGCGGCTGCCGGGGGGCCCCACTGCCCACACGCCGGCCCCACGCCGCAGCAGCACAATGGGCACTCTGTCCCCACCGCCACCCCACAGCGCCCGCCAGGCTGCTTGGCCCCTCCACCACCATCATTTCACTTGACCTATTATGAATAATAACAGAAGCAAATCAGAAATTCTTTCAGGCTGGCGAAGGGAAGTTTTCCCAACTCACCAAAACCACGAGGACGGTGACAGCAGCCCCCTGCCCCGCCACCCCACACCAGGTCACGCTGCAAACTGCCACGGCCCTTCCCAAACACCACCACCGGCAGCAGGGGCTCACACACACACACCGGGACCTCACAACCTGTGTGCCAGCTGCGGTGCACCGGGCAGGCAGCTCTCTGGGTGCTCAACAGCTGCACCGCGCCATCCCTGCTCTCAGCCCTGCCGCAGCCTCCCTGCGCACAGCAGTCCCTGTGTCTCTGTGCAGGGTTTTCGCCACGCCACCGCCCTCCAGCCCCATGACGTACCCGCCAGCTGCTCGCTGATGTCCAGGCTGGAGCTCCAGGAGAAGCGCTCCACTGCCCCGTACTCCATGCCCGCCAGCGCGGGGGGCAGAGCCCCCAGCTCGTACGCACCCCGCTTCTTCCAGTACAGGAACATCGTGCGGCCGCAACGCGGCACCTGCCCTCACCATGGGGCACCCAGGGGGCTGCCTCGGCCGAGCCGTGCCCACACCGGTGGGACTGGCCAGGGGGCCCGGCTCCGGCTTTAAGAGCAGGTCCCGCTCTCCGGACAAGCGCAGCATTCATCCCGTGAGCCGGGAGCGCTGGGGTGGCGGAGGGTGCTGCTGGAGGCTGCCCAATGCCCCGCGCACAGGGCGCACAAAGGGCCTTTCTTCAGCCTCCTACAGACATTGCACAAATTTCACTTTCCGCCGTCTATGAAAGAAATTTCGGCCGGGGAGACAAGACACGCTTGTGATTGAAATAATCGGCATGAAGAGCGCGGCTGTTCGGCAGCTCCGGCAGCACAGGGCCGGGGGGGAACGCTGCGGGCATTGGGGGCTGAGCGCTGCGGGGAGGACGGGCACAGCAGTGAGGACAGCTCTGGGGGTGGGCACATCGCCCAGCACAGCTCCGGCTCCAGACCCCCGCCCTGCGCTCAGCACTCGGCTGCAATTCATGCATTGAGATTGTGGCACAACTTTACAGCAGTTCTCCCTGGCTCACACAACGGAATTTTCTCCCTACATCTGAGCTCCTAGCAGGGTCCCGGGTTTGGAACCTGCACACCATTCCGCCCCACGCCCCGCACAGGAGCTCCGGTGGCGGCAGTGCTGAGCTGGGACAGCCGGCAGCCTCGTGCCCCGGCTCCCCGGCGAGGCACAGAAGGTGACAGGCAGGATCCGGGCCGAGGCTGAGCCCCCCCACCTGACTGCCTTTGGGACGGCCCTGCATCAGCGGCACAGCCCTCCCAGCGCTCCCTCCCGGCCTCACTACCACAGCTTTGTCTACGTGAAGCCACGTTTTCCATACGCCAACTCGGCCACCAAAGAGAGCCGAACCCCCATCAGCGAAACCATCCACACTTGCTGGCAGCGGGCACTGCTGACGGGTCAGCAGCACCCCGGGATGCGCTCAGCCAGGATCGGGTGTTTGCGGTGCTGAGCCCAACAGGAGGGGACCTCATCAGCACTGAAACGTCTCTGCCCACCCGTCCCGAGGAATGAGCTCCAGCCTCATCGTCTCCTCGCTGGCAAGCTCTCCCTAGCGCCGCTGGCGGTGACGCAGCACACGTGCGTGGAGACCGACAGTTTCATTTTTCTCCTTTCCAACACCAGGCAGCTGAGATCCGCGCAGGGCAAAGCTCCCTAAAACGGGACAACCTGCGCGGAAAAATCAGGCGAAGGCAATTCCTGCCCAGCTTCATCAGCACCGACACCGCCCACAGCCAGCACCGCACGCTGCGCGCAGCTCCGCCGCCTCCGGGACCCTTCGCCAGCAGCGGACGAAGGCAAAAGCCGCTCCCGAGCTTTCGCGGCCGGCAAAGCAGACGGCGGCCACGGCGCCGCAGGCGGGCGCAGCTCCTCCGGCCCCAACCCCCGCTCACGTGCTGGGGGCGGAGGAGGGGCAGCGCGTGCCCGAACCCGGCAGAGGATCGGCGAACCGCAGGGCGGGACCCGGGGGGGGGGGGGCGCGCCCCCGGGGGGCTCCCCGCAGCCGCCCCTCCCTCCGCACCCCCGGAACGGCGGCGGCCGGACGTCGCCCCGCACCCCCCGCGCACTCACGCGTCCCCAGGCGAAGGATGAGGCGGCTGCGGGGACGGACCCGCGCCCGGGCGCAGCGCTCATCGCTCCGCGCGGTGCCGATGCCGCGCTCCGCACCGCCGCCCCCCGCCCGCAGCAGCCCCGCAGCGGGAGGCTCCGCCCCGGCCCGGCCCCGTCTCACCTTTCCCGCTGCTTCCCCCCCTCGCCGCACAGATGGCCCCGTATTTATTTTCGCCGCCGTGCCGGCCGAGCCTTCCCCGCGCCGCCGGAGCCAGCCATATGGGCGGAATTAGAGCCGGATTAAGTTAAGGCTTTAACTCTTCGCCGCGCGGAGCTCCGTTCGGTCCTCCCGGTGCCGTCGGTGCGTTGGTTTCCATTTTTTCGTTGGGGTTCGGACTGCTGCCCCACGCAGTACGCAGGTAACGCATCCCTCTCCACATCCGTGCCTCTCCCCGCCCCACAGAGCTCTCTACATAACGATACGTGCACTTATACTCGAGGCTTTCAAGCCCGAGCAATGCATCCACCCCCCCTCCAAAGCATCGCTGCTTCTGCCGCACCACCACCCCACCTGCAGTCTGAGTGAAGAGGAATCGGGCTCACCAAAAACTCAGGAGAAAACGGGCAAGAGGAAGATCAGCACACGCTCTTAAAACCACGAGTAAAGCAGTATTAAGGTACTGTGAAGTTAGGCTCACACCCAGCTGCCGCAGGGGCTCTCACTCCTCTGAGCTCCAGCTTCAGCCAGGAGGAGCACAACTGCTTTAATTAAGAGCTTCTGCCAATCACCCATGTGTTGTATGAGCCACATCCGTGTCACTGCAGGCTTTGGAAGGAATTCAAACCATTTTTCAACTCATTTATTACAAAACACCAAAATACATACTGAAAATATAAAATACTGTTAAAAATGATGTTTTCATATCTACAGATCAGCTGCTTGGGGTCTCCTGCAGCTGTGGACCCCAGGCCTCCTGCTGTACAAAACAAATCCTGCAGTCCAAAGGCTTCAAGTGTAATCACACTGGAACGTGCATTCCCTCTTCTGGAAATGCTTCTTCTTTCTCAGCTTCCCAGACCCCAAAATGCTGTAGTTATACTCGGATGTGACATAAGGGATCTCTCCCTCAATTCCTTCCTGAAAAAAAACAAAACCAAAAAGTAGAACAGCTTCACAGATCTGTGCCTTCAATTGAAGGCACCTCCCTTTAAAAACAGAGCAGCATTTAGTGATGAATACAAGAAACCTGCCACTGAACCAACCCTATGTTGATATCTGAAAACTATCAATGTTCTCTTGGTTGCTTCTGTGCATTAAGGGCAATTTCCCAGGGGTACGACCATGCTGTGTCCACACAGCTCTGGACACGTCCAAGCCTCACAGAAAGCAAGAATTTGCCAGCAAGATTAACCCTACAACAGTTCTTCCACCCCACTCCCAGGCAGCTCCTACCTGGCTCACAAAAATGCAGTTTGGAATAGCAATGTTTCCCAGCAGAAGGCAGTTCACTACTCTCAGGTTCTGAGGAGGCACCGGGGTCAGGATGTGATAGAGATGCTTCTCCATGTCGACCCCTCGGACAATTCCTGAAAAACACAGGGTTCAGCCAAACCTGGCCCACACATTTTGTGCAACACACTTAGAATCCGCTTCGGGAAACGTGAACCTAATCCTACTTTTCCAGTTGTTTTTGGAAAGAGAAGATAATTCCACCATTCTGCAACACGGCTCAAAATACAACACGTGAGAACACGGCTTAAGGTTTCCCAGCGTCACTCACCAAAGCCAAGGCAATCACAGATGGGTGTCTGTGTCAGCAGCACTGGCCCGGCAGTTTGGCATCTGATTTCATCTGGTATCCTGCAGAGCCCAACCCAGCTGGCGTTCACTGCATACATGATGTTGGTAGGAGCAACATCGGTGTGAATAACCCTGAGTGCAACAGCATTAAAAGGTACCTGAGGGGGAGGAAAGGAACGAAAAGAAACACGCTGTGTCAACAGCTCAGCATCAGCTTTGTGTGCTTAACTTACCCTGAACTTGAACCCTACTAGAAAGCCACCAACCGCATCTACAAACAGACCTTACAGCAGTTTCAGCACTAACAACAGAACGCACAGAAGATGTGCCACAGTGACACTGTAACAAAAACCTCGTCTTTTAATTAAAAACACCAATCAGCTGATTACCTTGGATTACAAAGCACTTTTTCCCCCACCTTCCAAAACACGTTCCAGTACAACTTTCAATTCCCAACAGCCAGACCCCCTGCAGCACCTTCCACCCCTCCAGAAGGCCCACGTACCTGATATGGCACGAGGCTGTGCAGCGGCAGGACGGAAGCCACATCTGGGGGCTGCAGCTGCCCCAAGTAACCCAGTATGGACATGTCACGTAAGATGCTGCTGTGCACTCGCCTAGAAAAAATAAACACAGCAAATGAAGAAGTGCAAGTTCTAATTGGAAGCTGCACTTGGTGAAAAGTCTGCACAGTTAGCAGTAATTACTGGGAGAAGGGTAGGAAGGAGCAAATAATCCCCTTTCTGGTCCTCACACCTTCCCCTACTCAAAAATAAAATGAAAAAGCTCTCAACAATCTCCTCCAAAAACTTCAATCAAAGCCCAAGCAAATGTGTCAAGAGAACAAACAGCCTCATGGGCTCTGACCAAATTAATGGGCTCTGAAGGCTACCATGACAGTTCTCTCCTATGCATTTACTATCAAGACGAAGCGTACTTTTGCCGAGCCAATGAAGAACCACACAACGCTCATTTTCCACTTACGCTTCACCTGCAGCCCCAGCTCGAGGGAATTCAGGGTGGACGTAGAGCAGCTTATACTCAGGAGCTGACGCATCTTCCTCCCCCTCAGAGCACTTCCAGCTCTCTGCTGCACTCAGGTCCATCCGCTCGCCCTTGGCTCGCTGCTTGCCCTTGGTGTACAGCCCGGGCGCCAGGTGGACGCTCTCGGGGGTGAGCGGAGCCATGGCCTTCCAGTCGTACACATCCATCTGCACCACGTGAGTGGGCGACAGCAGCCGGATCATATCAGTCAGAAGCAGCAACCCCTCACCTTCAGGGAGCAGAGAATACACAGCTACTGTCACCAGGCTAAGGAGTCCGAACGCTGTTACAGGAGGCCGACAACAGCTTGCGTGGAGTGAGCTCCATTTCCACGCTCCCGACTCCGCAGAGCGAGGCGATACACCGCCAGGTTGTTAGGCTCCCTCTGCACCACCCCTCCAGAATGGATTCATTGTTTACCTTTCACCCAGCCCATAGTGTTGATGACTAAAGGTACTTCCTTCCTGTAGGAGCTGAACACGTACTTCACCACATCGATGTATCTCTCTGTGTCCTGCTCACAGCTGGTCTGCCCGTAGTACACCATCT